AAGAATAGTATTGAATTTCTCTATATTGTTGTTTGGAAACATTGCAAACTAGTGCCTTTAGCCAAACGCCACTTTAGCGCTTGTCTACAGAGAGAGAGTTGAAAATTAATTGTATGGGGATGACACTGACAAGTGTCAAAATTTACGTCAATACCACATGTTTTCTATTCTACGTGTTTTTTTTTTAAGGGGTGAAAATCATCGACTGACTGCTCCCGCCTGGGTGAGGCGGGAGGGAGTGTCAGACTCTTACTGACTAAAAACCACCCCGTTCCTTCTCCTGCACGTCGAGCCGGAGCCCCGGTTACCCGTTAGGTTCTCCGCGACTCCGAATCGGCATCGGCCCTATCGGGCCCCATCTGTGGTGGTCTAGACCAGCGATATGTGGCATTTGGTTACAGCTGCTGACTTCCTAACTTCAGGCTTAACTTTCTAAACATAAAGCAAGCGTTGTTTCACGCCGATATTTTGAGAGGCCATGGTATCACTCCAATGGAGGCAGCCTGTTTGTGCTGAAGCATGGTTCTCCCAGGCGCAAAAATTGTGATAGCAAAACTAACAAGGCGTTCTTGAATTTTTTACGATTATTTTGTCTGTATATTGACATTCATGTTTATTTTCAAACATTATAGTCCCTGTATGATTCCTTACATTACCCATAACGTTTGGATAACATTGGTGTATAATACCTAAAGTGTGTGTCGTGGTGGCCCGGAGGTTTAAGAAGCCCGCTTCTCATGCATGAGGGTGCGGATTCGAAATCTACCAACGGCAAGTACCAATCGGCAACCGGCAATCGCACTTTCGACCTACGAGACAGTATTTTTTGTTAGATTTACTATTATTTTGACGTCAATGCGTTTTTGTATTGTACCGATGTAAGTATTACAAAAGTAGGAGCTTTAGGACCTGTTTCAGCGACTGGCAAAGTCAAAAATAGGTGAAATAGACAGGTGTCTACTAGTGGGCACGCGACAATTTCTTATCCTCCAGTTGACGAATAAGTCATCGCGGGTAAACTAGTAATGTAAAATGTAATAAAATGAATTTCATTTGTGTTGTGATTTTGCACAATAAATCATCTTTATTGTTACATTTGTATTAGTTTAATGACATTCCATTTTTGCCGAAGACTCATTTCAATTAAATAAATGTTGATTCTCTATTTCATTCTTAGTTTTATTTATTAATTACCTACTTACGCAAAACAACAAACAATATTCTTAATTTACCTACCTTTAATGGAAAGCCGCAGTTTCAATAACAATAATATTATTGTTATTCAAATTTGAATAACAATTCATTATAATGCGCACAGATTGATCATTCATTCTTCTAATACCACATCATTTATTCATTATTCTAATGGTTTTAATAAATTATATTGTATTATGATTCTTACTAATTGGCTAGCTGTTCTAGTTATCCTTGCAATTGAATGGCATTCATTAATAAATGGATTTTATTTCGTTAAGATTTTAACTGCCAAAAGAAAACTGTTGAAGGCAAATCCTCCGTTAACGTCGGTCACCGGTGACCATCATGGCGTTCAATGTGTTAAGAATTTTTGTATGTATTGCGTTGTTTATTAAATTAGTGGGGATTCTGTGATTGGAATTTGATAAATACTTAAAGTCAAAGTCAAAGTCAAAGCATTTATTTCAATTAAACCATAGTTTGGTACTTTTGAAACGTCAACAAATAAAAAATAAATAATAGTCTGTCAGTCTTATTTGTAATTCATGTAGTCCATGACAATATATTCTTAGACTGTACCTAAGCCAACGTAAGAGGATTTACCATATTTTTGACTCTTGCCAGCAGGTTAGAGCACACAGTCAAAAATTTCAAGTTTCTATGTTGAGTATGTTGTACCTAAGTCTTTTTTTTTGAGTTGGAAAATTATCCAATGACTTCTCCCACCTGAGTGAGGCGAGAGGGAGTGTCAGACTCTTACTGACTAAAAACCACCCCGTTCCTACTTCTGCACTTCGAGCCGGACAACCCGTCAAGCCCTCCACGGCTCCGTATTGGCTTCAGCCCTATTGGGCCCCAGAACACGACGCGGCATACGAAGTCTGAGTTTAGATACGGCACACAACATAATAATTATTCTAATAACCAGTCTTTATTTAATTGGATTAATGAATCTCACGAATATATAATTTATGCGTATAAATATTGGGCACATAATTGGTTGTTTTTGATATATCACAGAGAAAGATACATCTTGTCACATTAGTTTGTATGAGGTACGGATAGATGGCGTTGCATATCTATGTTTTCCTGCGCATATTTAATACGGGATTCGAATGCATTGTTTTGATGTAACAATACTAAGTTAATTTCAAAAATTGAATAAAAACGTTACGAATTATTCAGCGGCTACATAATACATTATTATTTAATAATGAATTCAAATGTGTAGGTAATTGTAAACACGTAGGTATGTATCTACTTAAGTGTTCTTTTAATTTTCAGTAGTGACATTTTTCGCATACTTACTTTTATTTACAATTACCTAGAATAATAACTAGGTAATGGTTTACTTAGACAAACAACGAAGGACGATACATCGAAAACAAGTTAATCATGTGCATGAAAGTTTTGAAGTAACCGCAGTGCTCAATGGTCATATTTATCTCTATATCAAAAGAGGTCTTTGCATAGTAATGTAAAATTGTGGTTACTCTGACAAATTAATATCTTTATCCATCAAATAGCAACCCGCCCCGGCTTCGTACGGGTGCAATATGCATGTTTTATACATATAAACCTTCGTTAAGAATCACTAAATCTTTAAAAAAACAAAAGACCTCATCAAAATCTGTTGCGTAGTTTTAAAGATCTAAGCATACATAGGGAAAGACAGACGGCGGATAGCGACTTTGTTTTATACTATGTAGGTACCTAGGGATATCTAATATTAAATATAGATTCAACATTCGAAAAATGTCGGTTAGTTCGCAATCATTATGAGGGACTACTATATTTGCACGCTATTGTATACGGCAGTCGCGGAGAACCTAACGGGTAACCGGGGCTCCGACTCGACGTGCAGGAGAAGGAACGGGGTGGTTTTTAGTCAGTAAGAGTCTGACACTCCCTCCCGCCTCACCCAGGCGGGAGCAGTAATTCGATGATTTTCGCCCCTTAAAAAAAAAAAATGTTCAGATGGAAAAATTACCTTAAAATTTTGTTATGTTTCGTGTTTCTTAGTGCGATTGGGTACTCGTACTCGCTAATAATGATGGTTTTTTTTAGTCCCTGCTTTTTGCAATTGGCTTGCAATTTTACATAACATTTTGTGAAAAAATAGTTTAATATTATTTTTACATTGACTGCAACGTGTTTTTTTTAAGGGTGGAAAATCATCGAATGGCTGCTCCCGCCTGGGTGAGGCGAGAGGGAGTGTCAGACTCTTACTGACTAAAAACCACCCGTTCCTTCTCCTGCACGTCGAGCCGGAGCCCCGGTAACCCGTTAGGTTCTCCGCGACTCCGATGACTGCGACGTGTAGCGGGTCGATTTCCGTACAGTGCAACTCTTTTTGTGGTCCACAAATTGTTGTTCCGGGTCTGGGTGTACCTAATGTGTATTTGAACTTGTATGTTTGTAAACGCACCCGGGATAAAGGTCAAGATCCTAGTGTGTGGCAACGTTTAAAAAATATATTGTAAATGATTTCTATAAGATTAAACTTACTGATATAATAAATTAATATATATCAGTTTGACGAGGAAATATAGGTACCTACTATTTTTAGGATGCACGTATACTTACTACCTAAATTCATTAGTTTAAAAATAACTTGTTATTACAATTGTATTACTTATTTTAGTTTATATTTCGCTAACTTACCTTGACCTCTTCAGTTACACAATATCCTATACATGTATACATTTTTCTAGGAATTAATATAAATAGGTTTTTAACTTAAAAAAAACAAGTAGGAGGTGTCTGCTTTGGGTGCATATAACCGAGGCAGCCCCAGGCAATACAAATACAAAACAATTTTTGTGTTAAATCAAGGTCTCGTATGTCAATAATGCATTAACAAACATAACTACTTATTCGAATAAACATACTATTAAGATTTATGTATTATTATATAATATACTTCCCTATATTTGTATTCACACTTGATTAATATATTTTTAAATATTCGATTATAAAAACATATAATAATGATATAAATCTATAATATATAATTATTATTATACATTATTATTACAAAATGGCGCCTATGCATCTATGTTACTCAATCCGGAACAACAATGTTGTGTATGAGTTGTTCGATTTGGGAACCGATGCCTTTGTGTTTTACCTATAGAAAAAATATCGTTGCCATCTATCCTCTTGTATGTTGATAGTTGCGGGTATAATGTAACATCTTTCAGTAAGTAACGATAGTATTTTTTATCACTACTTAATTCATTGTCAGAAGTTAATATTGTAGATAACAATAAGGCCTTATGTATATTCGGAAATGTTCCTAATTTAATAAATGTAGATCTATTGTCTCGATAATATAGGTATAAATCAATTAGGCAATGCAGGTGTTAATAAATAATACTAAATGTTTTTTTTTTATTAGACGAGGTTATAACAAGGAAGTCCATTGTTTTGTGTAGAATATTTACATACAAGGTTTCTGCACAAATCATGATCGGAATGGGTCATTTTTTTTCTGTGGATTTTTCTAAAGGTTATGGTAGATTTTTATTATATTTGATGGGCCGACGTTTGACCGCTATCTCGCCTGGTGGTAAGCGATATTGCGGTCTAGAATAATAAAAGGGGCATTCACGAAGAAAGGGGTATTTGACTTGTTAGTGGTTTACACAACTTAGATTGCTTAGTTATCATGGTGTTGTAAAACATTTTGGCAAACTCTCATTTCTTATTACAAATTGATGTGCTGAAAATTGGTGTTTTGGAGTTCGGAAGGCTATGCTTCCTTTTTTTGTTTCGATTAGTGTGTTGGTAGGAACACTTACTGTTTGGAGATCCTCCCCTAAACATTGGGTTGGGAGCCATCCAGGGAAAGGCTCCGAACGGCCAGGAGTGCGGCGGCGGGCCCTGGTACAGCCGCGGCAGTAGCGGCTGTGGCACCACCACTCCGCCTCTCGTCTCCAACTCGTCCCCATCGTGGCCGTTCTCTCTCTCTTCCCGATCATCAACATTCGAGTCAACATCCTCGATGTCAACGTCACTCTCGTCGCTCTCAGGCGCCGCGTCGGTACTCTCCGCGTCATTACTGTTCGTATCGGCCACAGTGTCCTTCACCGGAGCGTCCTGTTTACCCCCCAGCAGAGAGTCCACGCTAAAAGATATCCGGCCTTTCCCGCCGCTTTCGGCGGTCTCGGCACGCTCGCATTCGAGCGAAGTCTTCATTTCATCTGCTCGATGACATTTCAATTAAATTCGCGCGCTACCCCCGACGGCTTATCTCGCCATATTTTTTTCGTAAATTGTCCAATTACAAATGTTTGTCTAAGAATCTGTTTAGAAATTCAAATGAACACTGGTCGTGTCGTTAACTAGATGTCCCATTATCGTGTTTGTAATTTGTATTTGTAATTCAGTTCCATTGCTAACGATTAAACTGGATAAAGTTTGTTAATTGATTTCGCGTCGATGTATTATTTTGCAAGTTTCCGTTAATTGCAATTCGCGTTCATATGCACATGGTGTTATTAATTGCACTATCCACGTCAGCGGTCCGATGTAGCGGTCGAGTCAGTACATCACTATTATGGCAAACAGTCGAATTAGCACAATTGGCAGCACTAATAAAAAATAAAATCGGAATATGGAGCGTGGATTTGAAATGAGAACGTGCGGTCGCGGCGCGGCGCGGAAACTTGCGAATGTGTTCGGAAACGAGCGATATCTCCGTGTAATGATTCGCGTGGAAGCGCGGTGAAAATCGCGCCAGCATTGGGGCGCAAGCCGCGGCCGCGGACCGCCTCTCCTCCCGGCCGACAGAGATGCAGCTACCGACCGAGGAATTTTAATAAGCGGCGCGGAGCGAACGAGACGACGATACAATCCGACATGTGTGTAAACGCGATATTGAGTAGGCGGGGTCCGTCGCGCTCAAATTAATAGTCTCCACGGAATACGCCTTATAGATTTGCGCGAGAGTAGACTAATTTGAGCTGTTCTGTGCAGTTATAGGGTTGAGTTTGGCGTGTGTTGTGTAACAATAAAATGACGTAACGGAGCCGAGTGTGTTGGATTGCAGCGGCTATTGTGTTGAATGAAAAAGGAGTAAATAGACGGGTGCTGTAGGCGGCGTAGAGGGGACTTTACGATTTAATTATTCGCGAATGCGGAGGCATTTTGTAGCGAGCTAATGTCTCATTGTCTCATTAATATCTCGGGCGGGCCGGCCATGTTTGATTTGTTTATGACGAAGGAGGTGTGCAGACGTTCAGCTGAATGTTTTGTTCGGCGACAGTTGGGAGTTCCGAAGCGGAGATTCAAGCGCCGCCGCTCGGCACTACTAAATTAGTTGGTAGTAACATGTCTTGTTTAATTTGTGAGCTTTACTCGAGTTCCACTGAGAGTTACGACGTTTTTATGAACGGGACAGTTTGTTTGGGGATATTTTTTGGGGTTTGAAGGGATACTATTTAAATAGTTGTTTATGGCATGAAGGCTTTAGGGTAGATTTGAGATTTTGAAACTAGAGCTGCTGGAGCATTCTAAAAGACATCCTGTATATACAATTCCTTTCACAATAATATCCAGGGTGTTAAATCTTAAATTACGAACCTCGTTTGAAAAACGAACTCGAGAGAAGGAACGGACATGAAATCAAAATGAGATATGAATTTAAAAATCAATAAACCTCGTTACGAAAAGAAATCCCGAATCAAATCATTAGCGCCATGTCACTTAACAGTTAATCGTATTACACTGATATCTACAATCTCATTGTGCAACGTACAAAAAGATTTCCTTCCCCTTTAAAAACAAAAACCAACTCTATCACAACACTATAAGGTTCAAAAACAAACAACACAAAATTGACGTTGTCAATTCGCAAATATTAACAAAAGACGATGTGTCCCCTAATTTTGTTGGTGAAAAATGTGCTTTATCCGTTTGTAATAGAGTCGATTTGTGTGTGTAATTAATGGTGCACGTCCCTTATCCAATTAATGTAATTTAATAGCACAAAGAGATTAACGTTTGCTTTAATTGAAAGAGTATAAAGGCAGGGAACATTATTAGCTTACGCTACGCCATAAATCTTTAATTCATATTGACGTAGAAGTGGACATTTTGGTATCGCACGATGCGACCGACTGTATAAACGTTCCCGTGGTTTTATAATGCCAATATGAGCAGGCAAGAAATTGTGACGAGTTCGGACACATTCCATTAAATCGTTTTGCTGCAATGATGGGTAAAGTAGTGTCGCCAAATTGTACGGAATGCGACATTGTTGAGGACGTGTATCATATTATTGTGGAGTGTGTTCGGAATGATGCAGATAGATGTCGGATACAAAGAGAATGTAACTCTGTTACATTCTCTTTGTATCCGGCAATTTGGAATATGTCATTAAAGTCTAGCCTTTCCAACATCTAATTCTGATAGGATAATTTAGATATAAGTTAGTTAATTTAAGAATTAAACGTAGATTGTAAGTTTCCAATGTTACCTACTACTACTTCTAGGGTTCCTATGAGGGTGACATGTTCGTAATATGAACAAATCCTCCATATTCAATAAAGAATTTAAAAAAAACTGGACAACTACACACTGTAAAAAAAACAAATTTAATATAGATTGCGTAATTATTACAGGTACTATCTAAGTATATCTTTAAGTAAGTGAAGCAGTAATAGTCAGTAATAATCATAAAATAGTACTTACAGTTGTGTGTACCTACGTCTTACGTAATTGATAGGAATCATACGAACTTCATATTCTTCCGAGAGTAGAACCCAGTCACAAATTTGAAAACAAAAACAAATTGATTAACTGGGTACCGTCATACGAAACCATATTAGAAATGATTTCTTTATTTATACCTATTCATAAATAATACATAACATAACGTAACATCACGCCTTTTTATCTCCGAAGGGTTAGGCAGAAGTGCACATTATGACACTTAAACTGTCAAACACCAAGCAGTCACCGGTGACCGCAACCTATTGTTCTATAATTGTGTCTATAATGACGGTACTCGACGAGTTAATGCCAATGTAAAATGTAACACCTGCTTTTCACTATTTATGTTATATGAGTCCCATGTAATAGGGGCTGAGCTTATTGCCATATACCGGGCAAAATTCGAGTCTCCGTGTTACCACTGAGATTTTTTTTACAAACCCAGTAATTCTTAATCGATCCGGGAATCGTATCCGAGGTCCACTATCCGGCAGTTGCACTGGCGACCACTTGACCAACGAGACAGTCAGTTATATTATTAACTCGTCGAGTACCGGTTTTGCAGACACAATTATAGAACAATAGGTTGCGGTCACCGGTGACCGCTTGGTATTTGACAGTTTAATAATAAATTTAAAAAGCGGAAATGACAAAAATCAACTATTCTAAATATTCAAATAATTACGTAGCGCGTAGCAAAGCGTAGACGCTACGTAGACGCTGCGTAGACATTGCGTGCTTGTTTATGCGTAGTCGCCTAATTACTATTTTTTATTTTACTTCCACGTTGACAATTTTAAAATAAATTAATGTTAACGGGTAACCGGGGCTCCGACTCGACGTGCAGGAGAAGGAACGGGGTGGTTTTTAGTTAGTAAGAGTCTGACACTCTCTCCCGCCTCACCCAGGCGGGAGCAGTCATTCGATGATTTTCCCCCCTTAAAAAAAATACGTAAGTAACACTATTCAATTTTAGTATTTATTTTCTAACGATTACCTAAATGTTGACGAAAAGTATTCACAACTGCTTGCTTATATTATACATCTTATGATAATATACCTAATCTTCGTAAATACAAACTCTATCAGTTCTCTATATAACAACCGAACAATTCCATCGTAATCCAGTTGAAACCTAACAAACCTATAAAACCAATCAAAACTACCATTTTGAAACAAACAGCCAATCCTAACACAGCATAACGCAAGCTAAGTATGTTCACAACAATGACAGACGCAGTTGATCCACAGCTTAGCGCCGTAAATGTCCAAAACATGATTATTTTTGATCTATTTATGTATATTTGTATAATAATGATCTATGATCCGATTGTGGTTGGAACTTGTTACTGAGATCAAACGATTGCCCTGTTCAAACGATTGTTTTGTAAGACGAGATTAGATGGTTCAAAGATTACAAATAAATGTTTAAGGGGTAGCGTAATTGGTAACAATAGATTCCTTTTTGGTTTGTAGAATGTTTTTTTTGTGACTGATATTGTGTAGACAGCTTAATTTCGATAATAGAGACTAGCTCGTTGGCCGAGTGGTCGCAAGTGTGAATGCCGGGAAAGAGGTCTCGGACTCAATTCCCGAGACGGGCAAATTTTTAAAAATTTTCAGTAGTAGCGTGGAGTCTGGAAATGTGCCCGGTATATGGCAATAGGCTCACCCCTCATAACAAATATAGTGAGAAGTGGGTGTTACATTGTACAGTGGCATAATGTGCACCTCTGCCTACCTCTTTGGGGATAAAACGCGTGATGTTATGTTATGTATAGTATGAAGACTGAAATGTACAATCGCATATTATGTAGAAATACACTAACAGTATTTACAGCAGTGACTCGAGTGACAAAGGGCACGTAAAAAATTTCGTCGAATTCTTCCTTACATTTATAGGTGTTTTATATTTGTGGTGTGGATTTATATTTAATGCATACGTTTTTTTATGGGGTTAGCAGCAGACGGATCACCTGATTGTAAGCAATCGGTGTCGCTCATCGACACCTGGAATACCAGAGGCGTTCCAAGTGCGTTACCGGCCTTTTGGAATGAGGGATTTGAGGATTGTTGGGGATTTGGGGTTTGGGGAAGAAATTGGGCTTCCGTTGGTAGAGAGACTAATTTGATCCCCGAAAATTACGTGCACATTCTACGTTATAAACGTGTTCATAAGTCAGTAGGTACCTACTCGTGTACCAACGATTAATTTTTCATTTCCACTTTTCGGTAACTTTGAGAATGACACTTTCGTAAATTGCATTAGTAGGTACTAAAAAAAGAAGAAAGAAAACCCATAGCTTTAGGAATACTTAACCAATAATTTAAGAGCTCCTTAATTAACGTTTCTATTACCATAAATAAGTTGGCGAACCGACGGGGGACGTAATAAAATTTTGTTATTCTCCCACCTACTTCACAAGGGGCGCAAACTTGAAATTTACACAGAAATAATACAAGAAAAGAGCAATCTTTTTAAATAATGACTTTCATATTCCAAGAGTAGCGGCAATTTAGAGATGAGGGATTCTGGGGCGGTTTTTTTTTATTAAAAAGTCGAGAATGACAACGATAGTGAGGGGCGACGGCCATTACTCCGCGAAATGAGTTTTCAGTTCGTCGTTTTTTCTACGATGGGAGATATCTACAGGAGGTTACTTACTTGTAAGTACTATAAATAGCTATTTACCTACCAACCTCTCTGATGGTTATCATTGTTTTTTTTTAAGGTTTATGTAATTCGACGCAGATATTCGAAAATTTTGCCGCGACAAAGTAATTTGTGTTTAACTACATTTTTTTATAAAGGGGGAAAATCATCGAATGACTTCTCTCGCCTGGGTGAGGTGGAAGGGAGAATCATATTTCTGCGTCAAATATCATACTTATTTTCTTAAAATTAGCGAGAAAAAATCCAACAGTAAGTAAATTGTCAAATCAATAGATGAGAGTATGATTATTTTTTAATTATTTATTGCATTGAAATGTTGAAACAATTTATTTTAAACCTAGGAAACTACCCAATTGTTAACTGTAAAATAAAATTGACGTTTGACAA